CGCTCACAGGCTTTTAAGACCCCAGACACTACTCACCAAGGTAGAATGTAGCGCATTGTCTTTATAAGCTGTGTCATGCCAATTGAGCTAGATGTTCCTCGTCCTATGGAGAACTCTTTAGCAGGCAAGAGCAATGAAAAAGAATAGGCATACAAAGAGTAGTTTACTTATTACATGCTCAATATCAGTACCATAGCAGCTGCAGAGGAAGATAGACAAAGCCTAAGATTCGTCCCTCTGCTCTGGTTTCTTAAAATCTTGCTCTGGCAGCAAAATATACATAGCACAACAATAGAACTAGCAATAATGTATGAGTTCCTTTGTGATATGCCCTAATTTGTTGATTATCGTCATTAAAAGTACCAAAGTTTGTGTAAATCATAATTTTAAAGCTAGACTCATTCCAATTAAATGGCATTTTGACTCCTTTGCGTTCTGAGATGTGTTTTCTTGGGTACGAGTAGTTTTGGAAGTTACAGCGAGCTTTGGGTGTTGCACCTGATGGGTAGAGGGTACTGGGCATGCATGCCATTTTCCTGCTGTGTGGCAGTGCGACAAAAGTCAAGAATTGCTGAGAGAGGGCACAGGAATACAAAGGTAGGACAAAGAAAATGACATTCCTGAGAAAACCAGGCATCTGCTTGAGATAAGCATTGGTCCTTTTAGTGTGGCTCTGAAGTCTTCTCTCGGCCATCTGTTTAATAAGTAAATGATATCTGATGAAGAAGAACAAAGTCTATTGAGTTAAATCATGCCAAAAATGTTTTAAAATATATGGAATCCAGTAGTGGTATGATTTTTCTTGAGAATAGAGACCCTTTAATAATTAAGGTACCGAACAGTTTGTGCTGGGCTACTAACCGAAAGGTTGGTGGTTTGATTCCACCCAGACAGGCCACAGAAGAAAGGCCTGCTGCTCTACTTTCAAAAAAACCAGCCAATGAAAACGCTGTGGAGCACAGTTCTACTCTGACACACATTGGGTGGCCATGAGTCAGAATTGGCTCCACGGCAACAGGAGTTTAATAATTCCTTTTCACAATTCAAATAATATGGTAGAAATACAAAGCTCAAGTGAAGTGTGGCATTTGTTTTTTGACATAATGTGATATTCCTAACCCTCTAACCCTATGAGGCAGTTCTGCTCTGTTCTATAGGATCGCTATGAGTCGAAATCGACTCAACGGCAGTGAGTTTTGGTTTGGAGTAGCTGAATCAAGACTCATGAATCAAGACCTTTTTCTTCTATATAAAATACATGTTAACAGTAATACCCCATCTTAGGCTTTGAAATTTAGAGATGAACCATTGTAGATGAGTTTCTACGGTAACATTATAACGAGGCAATCATAAATTTACATATTTGAGAAGAAGAAATAAGTGTAAAAAGCTTTAGAAGAATATTTTTAATCTAGTTATAAATAAGAAATGAGTCATCTATATGCTATGTAAATTTTCAAAAGGTAAATTTAGAAGTGACCTTTTTTTCTCTTTTTACAAAGCTTTATAATTTGGAAAAGAATATAGTTATGTCTGAAAACATTTAGAAATGTGCTTTCAGAGCTGGGTAGTGATGACAATCATTGAACTTTCTGCAGTGATGGAAATGCTCTATACGCACTGCCCAACACAGTAGCCACTGGCCACATGTGGCTAATAAGCATTTGAAATGTGGCTAGTGCAACTAAGGAACTGAATTTTTAATTTTATTTACTTTTAATTCATTTTAATTTAAATAGCCACATGTGGCTAGTAGCTACAATATTGTTAATGCAAAATGGCCTGAAGTCAAATTGTACAGTAGTAGATATGCCTTGCCAGATAAGTGAGTTCATTAACAGAATATCATTTTATATCCAAGATTCTTTGGCTCTTAAGTTTTTCCCTTGTTCTAAGTAGAGCCAATACCACTCCTGACTTGGATTAGTTTTAAAACAGTGTCTGTTTTACTTTAAAGAGTTCTTCTAAAGCATAAGTGTAAGCCCTGAAGTGAAAGAATTATGGATGCTATTTACTCGGAAGATAATAAGCTCATCCTAAACTGTTTTACATTTTAAAATTAAATGTAATGCTGAAACATTTAGGGATGAAATATACTGATGTCTACAACTTACTTTGGAAATACGTAAAAAAATAAAATGGACTGATGGATGGATAGATGGTAGATATGTGCTAAAGCAAACACAGCAAAATGTAAATATCATGTGGGTGTTCACTGTACAATTCTATTTTTCTGAAAATCTCACAATAAGAAAAAAGTTCATAATGACATATTGGGCAAAAGTTAAAAGTAAGCATTGTTAAATGTTTTAAAGTATCTTTTTTTTCCTTGAATCTATCACTTCTCTGTTAAATAGAGCCAAGGAGCAATAACTGAACGTTTAAGAAGTTTCAGTATGCATGATCTAACAACTATTCAAGGTGACGAGCCTGTGGGACAAAGACCATTCCAACCTCTACCAGAAGCAAAAAAGAAAAGTAAACCAGCACCCAGTGAATCAGCAGGTGTGCTTGCTTGTTTTAATATATGTCGTTAGCTGCCATCGAGTTGACCCCCCAACTCATGGTGAGCCCATGCACAACAGGATCAGTCCATTGTGATCCATAGGGTTTTCATTAGCTGATTTTTTAGACATGAATTGCCAGGCCTTTCTTCCTAGTCTCTTAGTCTGGAAGCTCTGCTGAAACCTGATCAGCATTGCCACAACATACAAGCTTCCACTGGCATACCAGTGGTGGCTGCACTTGAGGTGCATTGGCTGGGTATCAAACACAGGACTCCTGCATGGAAGGTGAGAATTCTACCAGTGAACCACCAATATATGGTTTTTTTTTAAAATTGTGCTGGTTGGCCAAGATGGGCACTAAAATAACCCATAGTAACTGTCTGAATTTGGGTAGACAAAATTTACGTCTGAGCTTACATTTTCGAGTTTGACACTTAACTGTAGTTCTCTTTCTCTACATTTTTGCTACATAAGGTTAGTATTTGCCTTTTGCTGACCCTGGAAGATGATCCAGCTAAGAAAGTAGCTGTAAACTCTTGTGCTGCTGTGGATTTTTAGAAGCTGTGAGGGTGATTACCACCACCTCCCCCACTCCCCACTACCACTGGTTCTGATCTGTGATAAGTACCCTTGCTACTCGTACTATGTTGTGACATCCAAGGAGTTGTATAGTTAAACCCTCTTTACGGTAAATGCCATGGACAAATAAAGATACTGACTCACAAGATAAAGAATTTTAAGAAGATGACAAAAGATGACTCAGTTTGAAAATAGGATTACTCAAGTGGGAAATGTGTTGAAATTACATACCCTAGTTCAAGAGCTATCCTGTAGATATATTCTAATATAAATTATGAACATGTCAGTTGATATGCTCTAAAATTTTAGTCGATTATTGTGACTTTAGAAACATACACATAAACAAAAAGACTTAGTTCCTTGGTCATTTTAACATATAAAAGAAAGTTTTGGTTCAAGGCTTAGCTAAGAACTAAGATCTTGAGGATATTTGTTATTAATAAATTAAGGCCATAAGGTACACGTCTACTTGACCTTTTTTTTTTTAAGTAGAGGTTTTCTTTACAGAGAGATTGAAAATCGTCCTTTATAGTTAACACCAATTTGAAATATAAATAATAATCACTTCTTAAAAAGAAAAAAATGATACTTTAGTTTTCTTCCATATTCTCCCTAAAGCACGTAACTTGACAAAGTTGGTGGCTATTATCTAAGAAGTAGAAATCAAGCATCGGTCATTGATTAAGGTAGTTAATGCCTTTAAGAGGGAGGAGCCATTGAACTTTGAACCATCAGCCTTAATACATTAATAATGTAAAAGAAATTCCTAATATAGGCATTTTCTTAAGCATTTAATGATTAGATATATTGATTTTTATTTAAGGGGAGCGGAGGAGAGTGTCAGATTTTGTGGACGTGTTTTAAAACCACCACAGCAAGCATGTTCGGAAACAAACATACTTATATACATTTTGTAAGAGTTTTAAATGGAATAATCCTTTTGGTTGACAATCTGGCAATAATTATAAAAATTTACTCCCTTTAACTCAGCAAGAACTTCTAGGAATATGTCATAAGGAAGTGATCAGACAAGTGTTTAGAAATGTATGTATAAGAATGTTCACCTCCTTGTGTATAATGGCAAAATATTGGAACAGACTGAATGTCCAAGATAAATTATTAAGCAAAGTGGTGGTTTATTAGCCATGAAAAACGATAATATTGACCTATACTTATTGATAGGAAAACATACCCAGATTGTGGGGGAAAAAATGACAAAACATTTTGCGTGACATGATTATACTGTACAGGCACAATAAGTAGATGATGGAATGGATTAATAATGTACATTTATTTTTGAAATGCATATACACAGAGGAGAGTCTGGAAGGATGTTACTAAAATGTTAACAGTGGTTACCTCTGAGTACTGGAACTTTTAGTGATTTTTTTTTTTTAACCTATTTCTCAAAATCAGAAATAGAACCACAGTGATCTTCATTTTGAAAGATAATTAAGGTACTCATTTTTGAATATTTAAGTTGAGTAGAAAATGCATATTTTAATGAAGAATTTGACATGACTCTAGTGTCTTCTCTCTTTTTGATGCAGGATTTGGTTAGTAAGTTGCAAAGTTAAATTTATGAATTTCACCTCCGTAATAGATCCCAAATTTGGCTACTTTTCTGTCCAACATTTCTTTTTCTGCCATACTGCAATTCCCTTCACCCTTAGCTTCCCTGCTTTCAGTTTCCTCCATTTCTGATCCGTTCTCCAAAGTGCACCCAGAAGAATCTTTTTTTAAAAACTAATTGTGTCACCTTTCTGTTTAAAATGCTTGTAACAGCAATGCTTCATAGTTCTTTTATGAAATCCAACTCAATAGTACGGTATATTAGCTCTCCAGCCTCGTTCTCGCCCCCCATCGTGTACTAGCTATATAGAATTGTAGGTCGTTCAGGATTTAATTTAGCTACCATCTCCTACGAGAAGTCTTCTCTCACAACCTGCACGCACGCACGCACGCACTTGCGTGCACACAGGCGCCTCCAGGCTGAGTCAATTCTCTTACTGTGTACTTCCAGAGCCTTGACCTTACCTTCTGTTTATAACATGTATCACAGCACTATAATGCCCGTTTGAGTCTGCTTTCCCTGTTGGATTTTAAGTTACTTGACAGTAGAAAAAGACAGTTGTGTCTTTTTCATCATTGTGCCACATAATTTAGCACACTACCTCTCACATAGTCACATTCGAAAAATACTGGTGGAATCCATCCACCACTTTCCTGAAACTGTAATTAGAAAACTAAGTTTTTTTTCTTAAATTAGGAAACAAGGAAAGAATAAGATGTGGTGTAAACAGCTTTTGAATGAAATTCTGATCCCTAATTGTACAAAATGGAGGCAATTCAAATAGCAAGGACTGTTTTTGTTGAAAGGAGCCCTGGTGGCACAATGGTTAAGCACTCGGCCGCTAACTTAAAGGTCAGTGGTTCCAACCCACCAGCTGCTCCGTGGGAGAAAAGACCTGGCAAATTGCTGCGTGAAGATTACCACCACCACCACCCCCCAAAAAAAAAAATGTTGCCGTGGAGTCGATTCCGACTCATAGCGTTCCTACAGGACAAAGTAGAAATACCCCGTAGGGTTTCCAAGGCTGTAAATATTTAGGGAAGCAGACTGCCGCATCTTTCTCTTCTGGATTGGCTGGTAGGTTGGAACCACAGACCTTTCAGTTAAGAGCACTTAACCACTGTGCCACCAGGGCTTCTCTGTGAAGATTATATACAAGAAAACTATGGGAATTCTACTCCATCCTGTCGGGTTGCTATGAGTCAGAATCGACTCGAAATCACACAACATGTTTGTTGAACTGTAGTCTTATGCTTCATCTGTGGCCTTAGAGAACTTTTTGAATCACTTCGCTTCCATTCTGACGCAGTCCTTGATTCCTTGTTCAGTGCTTTACCTTAGTTTTATTACATTGGGTTTTATTATATTGGGATCAGGAATAGTGTATCAGCAACAACAATTGTGAAAAATCTAGAAGTCGCAACCTGAAAACAATGAGTTTTTTGGGGGTTATTTTTTCTCAATTACACAAGTAATAACAGTTTTTCAAGCAAAAAATTGGCAAATAAAAAAAGGAAAATGAAGAAAGTTAAAATCACCTAAAAGCCCACTTCGAAAAGATGTAATAGTTTCATTTTTATATTGTTCCTTTGTTTCTATGTGTACATTTTTTTCCACTTAATATTGCATCAGAAGCGTTTTCCAATCACCTGTCCAGCTCCCAGCCACGCTGGCCTCCTTTCAATTCCTCACAGCAGTCATGCTTCCCCTTACCCCAGGACCTCTGCTGTCTATTTTACCTAAAATGCACTTTTTGGACTGCTGCAGGAAAACAAAGTGATAGAACAAGGATCTTGGCCTACAATAATGCTGGACTGATTCTGCTCCCTAATCTTTCTTAATTCCTACCCTAGAAGTCTGGCAGCATAAAACTGTACCTGCCCAATTTGCAAGTAAAGATTTTTATGTTATTATGAGAATAAAAAGCTTATTAACAACTCTTCATGGTTTGCTTAACCAAACCTGTTGCCGTCAAGTCGATTCTGACTCGTAGTGACCCTATAGGACAGAGTAGAACTGCCCCATAGGGTTTCCATGGAACGGCTGGTGGATTCAAACTGCCGACCTTTTGGTTAGCAGAGGAGCTCTTAATCACTGTGCCTCATGGTTTGCTTAGTGGGTCTCAGATCATTTGTGTCCTAGGAGAGCAAACTAATAAACATTTTACTGAGTGTATTTTTCTTGATATGCAAGGAGCCTCTCCCTGCCTCCTCCCAAGACTGGGAACCCTTCTATTTCTCCTTACCTGAAAATTTGACACTTAACAGAGCCTTGTAACCTCACCCCCTTCTTCATAGCTTACCCAGTATTCTGCTTGCCTTAGACTTGGGCACCTGTCTTGCTCTCTCCAGGAACCTCAGGCAGTGGGTCTCAGAGTGTGGGCCCCAGACCAGTAGCATAAACATCACCTGGGAACTTGCTAGAAATGCAGATTCTCAGCCCAGCCCGAGGCCTTCTGAATTAGAAACTTTAGGGGTGGGGCCCAGCAATCCTTGTATTAACAAGTTCTCCAGGTGACTCTGATATGTGCTAAAATTTGAGAACAAGTGTTTTAGGAATGGGAGAGTTCTTTTCCCTGGATCCCAGCCTCTTGCTCTCAGACTTCCTGACAGTAACCAACTCACAGCCTGGATGTTTGCATATTGGCTAATACTAAGTCTTTGTTAGCACACCCACATGATCTCTTACTGACCTTCTTGATGCGGGGTACTCTCCTTGACTAACATCTGTCATCATAGTCTGCAGTGTTTCTAGTTATGGTAGCCTGCCTGGCCGGGTTTTATTTCGGCAGCTGCAACATCTCTATCACCTCTCTATAGTGAACTCTTTTTTTTTCCTTTGCCTTCGAGTCAGTTCCAAGTCATGGTGACCCCATGTGTTACACAGTAGAACTGCTCCATAGGGCTTTCTTGGCTGTAGTCTTAACAGAAGCAGATCGCCAGGACTTTCTTCCATGGCGTTGCTGGGTGGTTTTGAACCACCAACCTTTAAGTTAGTTGTCCAGTGCAAATCGTTCATGCCACACAGGTACCTTCCGGTGACCATAACTTGCCCAAATTTCTAGGCCCATTGGGTCTTATTTAGGAGTCCCTGGGTGGTGCAAATGGTTAAGCACTGGGATACTGAATCCACCCAGGGGTGCCTCAGAAGGAAGGCCTAGCGTTATACTTCCAAAAGGTCATAGCCATTGAAAACTCTGTGAAGCTCTAACACACGTGCTTCAGAACTGACATGATGGCAACTGGTTTGGTTTGGTTTGGTTTTGGTGGGTCTTACTTAACTCCTACCATTCCCAATCTTGACCAAAGATATGACACACGGGGAAAATAACCTCAATTCCTAACTTAAATCGCAGGTGCTTAAAAAACATATCTAAAACCCCAGCGGCGTAGTGGTTAAGAGCTACGGCTGCTGACCAAAACGTCGGCAGTTCGAATCTACCAGGTGCTCCTTGGAAACCCAATGGGGCAGTTCTACTCTGTCCTATAAGGTAGCTATGAGTCAGAATTGACTCGATGACAACGGATCTTTTTAATCTATTGTAGGAGGTGTTTAGAATTCATGAAAAGGAGAGAGGGTGGGAAGAGATTTCACTATATATCTATATTCTTTGTGATTTTTTTGAACAAGTTGAATGTATTACCTATTCAAAATTTTTTTATAATCTGAAATATGCATAATAGATATAAGAATGGTCAGGGACAACTTTGTGCAAGAAATGAATTATGAGCTTCACCTAGAATAGTGCAAGGGGTAAAGATTCATCATGAAGAGCAGGGAGTTCATTCCAGATGGGAAAGAGAGAGGAGTAAACTGGTAAACGCGGACCATGTAGAGAACTGCAAACAGAAAGACTGCAGTGGAGTGAAGAGGCCGCCCTGCCTAGTATCCTTTCACCAAAACATCCTGTTTTGACAACTCATTTAGGGTATGGAATTCCACTGAAAGATGGAGATGAGAAAACAGATGAAGAAGAGAATGGGCCATACTCAGAAGATGAGATGTTAACACACAAAGGACTTCGAAGATCGCAAAGCATGAAGTCTGTGAAAACTGTCAAAGGCCGCAAAGAGGTTAGTCGAGCATAGAGTTGTTTTCCTAATGATGAGTATTAAGGGATTTCCCCGCTGCATTATCATGGATGTTAATGATCCAGAAATGAAAGATTGAAATGGTAGAAGAGCAGTTATATTTAAACGTCTTTATTCAGATCAGATGTATTAAGATCACTCGAAATTTTAAAAATGGTAAATTCCTAGTCTCCCATCATGGGTAGAAAATAGTAGTCCCATATAGCAAATAATACAGTTATCATGGATACCCAGTGCCATCCCTGTTCGTAAGCAAGGAAGGCAGCTAACAAAATTAACTGCATAGTTTTGCTTTGAACCAACCCTACATGATGATTAAATAGTAAAAGTTTATCCAAAATGATGCATTGTCTTTGTGCCCAGAAGGCAGTGGAGGATTTTGAATGGCCTCAGTTCATTACGTTCAGTGCCCATTGCCATTGTACTAAGGAAAGCATAAATAATACAATAACATTAATGTTTTTATTTATTAGTAATAATAATAATCTGCAACATATATCCCAAATGCTACCAACTACGCTTTTTTTTTTTTTTTTTACTGCACTTCAGGTGAAAGCTTATAGAATAAATAGTTTCTCATGAAACAGAAGTACATGTGTTGTGTCTTATGACATTGGTTAACAACCCCACAACATATCAACCCTCTAACTTCTCAACATCTTTTTTTTTTTTGGTGAAAATACACATAGCCAAAGATACAGCATTTCAAAAATTTCTACATGCACAGTTCAGTGACATTGACTACGCTCCTCCAATTGTGCTGTTATTCTCACTTAAGATGAAGGCTTACGCAACAAAATAGTTTCACATTTAACAGTTACTACAAATGTTGCCCTATGACAATAGTTAACAATCTCACAGCACATCAACAATATCCTTACTCAACCTTGGGTTCCCTATCACCAGCTTCCTTGTCCCCTTCTGCTTTCTGGCCCTTGT